GAATATCTCAAACAAATTACTAAAACTTAACCCAGCCAAGTAAGTAGAGTATTAAATCTGGTTTCCTGGTAGGGAACTGTTATACAAACACATACACACCAAGTCCAATTATTTAATTTTGACATTAATCCCTAACCGGAGCAATATTTTAGCAAATCTATGAGGCTTGCCAGCACAGAAAGCCTTGGGCTAACTACAAGGACCACTTCAGAGTCTCTTCAACTCAAGGTTTCTATGCAAACCTACAGACATACTAGGCAATCAGTGAGCTTATTCTTCAATTATTCAAGCACAGTTAAGTGCTGTAGTTATGCCCTTGGAGCAGACTGAACAGTATTTAGTCATTAGTCCCAAACAATAGTTTTTAATTTGCTTTATGTCTAGCATTCATTATACAAGAGAGCTAATCAAATTGGAACTAACACTGTGGTAGCAGACCCATTCCATACTAAAAAAAAATGCACGTGTCCAAATTGGTGTGACTAAACAACATTTCACATTAAAGGATTACAACTTTCATAAAGATGTGATTTACACAAGACAGATAAACAGATTAGGGCATCATACTTATGAGGCCAGTGTCATGGGCTACTAGAGAGCCTGGTTAGCTTTAGTTTGACCACAAACGGTTAAACAAAGGCACGGTATTAGACATATGGGGAGTCAGTGTAAAGATCATTCAGTTTAACTAACTATGAGTGAAACTACCTGCTAAATCCTAGGGATACAAAGAAAAATGTTCCACAAACATACCAAGCCTGTTCATGCCTCAGAGCCCTCACAGAACACCTCCCTCTACTGAGAACACGCTTTCCCTTGACCTGCACATTCAGATCTCTGCGTAAATGTCACTTCCCCAGAGAAGGCATCCTGTCCACTCGATGTAAAAGGGCCCTCCCCATAGTCTCTGTCTCCTTAACTGTTTACTCTGTGTTTTTTTCCTTCATAGTACTTATCATTGAAATTATTCTTGTTTACTTGTTTATTCTCTCTATTCCTACCAAATCATAAGCTCCATGAGGCAAAAGATGTTGACCATCTTTAAAGCTCTAACTCTAGTACCTAGAACATACCTAGTATATAAGTACTCAATAAATGTTTATTATATGAAATCAGCAATCAAGGTGCTCTCAGCATAATAGGATTAGAATGTATAATAGAAAACAGCATATAATCTTGTAAGAATTATATAAATACAATAATTTAAGTATAAGACATTTCATTAAAGAAAAACTGAAGACCTTCATTTTTAGAGTTACTTTTAAAGTTCCAGGCTCTCCCTAATATCCAAGTAAACTTCTTTTAACTCATTAACAGAAGTACAGCAGAAAATGAAACTAAAGGTGGTAGGAGAATTACAGGAACTAACCAATTTCCTTTCTTCCTTGCTTAAAGAATATTTACTAAAGAACCATCAAATCTAATTCCAAATTCCACTGGTTCCCCCTCGGATATAATCAGGAATCATCTATAAGATTTCTAGTTGATCTTCAACATAAATTTTCCATTTCTAGAACTAAAAATCCTTCTCTAGCCCAAGAATCAGCTGTATAAATCGGATCTGGTGTTACTCTCTCTCTTTGAATATCCATAGAGGTGAATATAAGATAAAAGTCAAATTAAGTATTAATGGAGTAGAAGAAACACACAGGGCAACCAGTAAGGCTCTATTTCTCAAACTGGGAGGAGAGTACACAGGGGCCGGGTGCGCACTTACACTTGGTACCTTTGTAATTGCATAAATACTTTGTATATAAATTCAATATTTAACAAAAATTGAAAAACACAGAAGCGTTACTCCCTGCACTCAAAAAGCTTAAATTCTCCAGGAGGAAGGGAATCAATGCCTATAAATATAATGTAATGTGGGCTTTGATCAAAGCATGTACAGTCTGACAGCCTCAGAAGGAAGCACCACATCGGCTGAGGCATGCCAAAGTACTTTATACAGTAATATCTGTGCTACAAAGTGTTAACTGTACAAGTATAAAAGTTATCACATTGGTTTCAGGATGATAATTATAGCAGTTTAAGCATCACTTGCTTTTGATTTTTTTAAAAAGTCACATGGAATTTAAACAAAACTATATTATTTGTAATAAGGATGATGTATAAAAAGCTGCAATAATGAAACCTGAGGAAAACCTTCAATATATTACTCCATGGGCTAGTAAAATGATACAGTAAAGATTCTTTTCATTGCATTCCCCAGAATAAAAGTTAGTAGAAAGCAGAGGAAGGGGCTGGACTAAAGAAATGAATCACTAACTCAAAAATCTATACAACTTCAAATTCATCTAGGTTAAAAAAAAGCCTCTCCTTAAAATGCTAACCACAGAATAAGGAGTATAATATGTTCCTATTTTAATTTTTAGAATACTATTGTATTTGTAGGTAATAGCTCTATATAAATACACAAAAATGCATTTTTTTTTTAAGTCTAAGATAAGGAACAAACGAGGGGTGAGGGAAAAGGGACAAACATGGGAGAAATTTTTTAAGGTTTTACTCAGATTACCTCAAATAATCCATGTTTAAGACTGACAAATATAGAACCTCTATAAAATTGTGGTCCCATCTTGGGTATCTAACTTGGGTATCTATGCTTTCTCCAGGTCCCTTTTCCTTAATTTTATTTAGTTAAAATATAATGATTTTTAAACCAGCCAACTCTAACTTACAGAAAGTTTCCTCTATTTTACTTTAACTGAGAAAGTGGAGACATTTTTAATCCATCATTTTAAAAATGTAAAGATAATAACTATGAGAAGACAAACATAAGCTTCTATTATATACTGGCTAATCTCATAATGATCGTGTCAACCAATCAATTATCACAAACCATCTCTACACAAAGCTTCCAGTCTATAATATAGCACAGATTCAAGTGTATTCACTATTACAAATTAACATTTTTGCATTCTTAAACTACAAAAGTGGGTTTAAAAACAGCTTGATAAGAACAAGGAGTAATTTCAAAGTTTTATCCCAAAGAAGACTATATTATTTTTAAAACTTAAAATAACACTTAAAAAATCAAGTTGGTATTCTTCATTTATCAAATGATAATTTCAGGCTATACTCTTGAAGCAAAAGATCAACCAACAGCAAGATCATACGTACCATGTATCAATTTTTTAATTAAATCACAGAACCACTCAAAGAAGAATTGTTCAGTTTATTAAATCCATTCTACAAAAAAAATACCAACACCAAGCTTAAAACTGCTTATTAGTATTTTATGATCAAAGATCTATACCACATTATAAATCTTTACACCCCAAATCCTACTTAACCGAGTCAATATAACAATTATAGGGGCTAAAAATTATTTATACCTCCACCTATACTCAAAAGTGGTTTGGGATATAAGATACCTTTACAAGATCATTAGGTTCTTTAAGAAAAAAATAAACTGATTTAAATCATTTTATATATATATATATATATATATATATATATATATATATATATATTTTTTTTTTTTTTTTTTTTTTTTTTTGTTTTACTGCTGTGGCCTCTCCCGTGGTGGAGCACAGGCTCCGGACGCGCAGGCTCAGCGGTCATGGCTCATGGGCCCAGCCGCTCCACGGCATGTGGGACCCTCCTGGACCAGGGCATGAACCCATGTCCCCTGCCGGCAGGCGGACTCTCAACCACTGCACCACCAGGGAAGCCCTATTTTATTATTTTTTAATCCCAAAGCCAACAATCGAGTTTAATATAATAGGAATAAAATTACTACTCCATTGTCTACTGCTATATTGCTATAATTACATATGTATGTATGTGTATATGTATGCAAATACACATGTGTATATGTGCATATATATTATATTCGATCCTGCTATTAGTATTTTATATACTATTAAGCTTTTAGAATTTTATTAGTGGGTCTCCTTGTCCTCTGATTGACATGATGATGATTTCTAAGTATGTCAATGTTGTGAAATTTATTTATTTATAGACCTTCTAATATTAAGCCATCTGTACATACGTGAGATAAACCAAACTTGGTTGTAGTGTTTGGCCTCTTTCATATGCGGTTGGATTTAGTTTGCTAATATACTTTATAAAGTTTTCACTTCTATATTCATGACTGATGTAGACCTACAGTTTTTCTCTCTCATAATGTTTCCGTCTAGTTTAATTATCAGAGTTATACACATCTTACAGAATGAGTTGGGGAAGCATTTCCTCTTTTTGTATTGTCTGGAAAAGTTTGTATAAAATTGAGATGGGATTCGAGCCCTGGTCCGGGGAGATCCCACATGCCGTGGAGCAACTAAGTCCATTCGCCACACCTACTGAGGCTGTCTGTGCTCTAGAGCCCGTGAGCCACAACTACTGAACCTGCATGCTACAACTACTGAAGCCCACGTGCCTAGAGCCAGTGCTCCGCAACAAGAGAAGCCACTGCAATGAGAAGCCCACGCACTGCAACAAAGAGTAGTCCCCGCTCACCACAACTAGAGAAAGCCCGCACGCAGCAACGAAGACCCCACACAGTCAAAAATAAATAAATTAAATAAATAAATTTAAAAAAAAAATTGAGACGATCTGCTCCTTGAAATTCTGGTAACACTCACCTGTAAAATCACCTGGGCCTAATGTTTCCCTTATGAAATTATTTTTTCTTTTTTGCCACTTCTTCAGTTTCTTTAATAGTTACAAGATTATTCAGGCTAATTATTTCTTGAATCTGTTCTGAAAAGTTAAAATTTTTTAGGAATCGATCTATCCCTACCCACAGTAATTTGGACCAAAAATTCATAGCTCTTCAAAGTTGTAATATCCTATTATCTGAATTTAGAAAAAGCATTGTATTTTAAGAGTACTAAATAACATAAGTCAGTTTTGCTTTGTTTTTATTTTTAATGCGGAAATTGAGAATCTGCAATAGCTCTAAAAATAACTGGATATATCTTGGGTAGCACAAAATCATAACTGTTACTTATGACAAACAGAATAGATGTGCATATATTTTAGCTACCACTTACCACCAGAAACAGGGGCATCCATGAAAACTGCTCCCATTTTCTCAACTTCTTTGGCCAATTCTTTTGAAACCATAGGATCAATAGTACTGGAATCTATTAATAGTGAGCCTTTCTTCACTTTTCTAAGTAAATGAACAGAAATACAGTTTTAAAAAACTATAGTTTTATAATTTAGAAAATACAGTTTACAACTCTGAATAAGCATTTCATGCAACTACCTATATCAGAAACTGCTAAAATTCACCAGATATCAAGGAGGTCTTCGGTTTAATATTAAAAACATTATTAGAACTGGTTCAAAATCTCAAATTCATTTTCAGATCAATTATAGTTCAAAGTAAACTCGAACTATTTCAAAGAAACCAAAATAATCTAATAATCTATATGGTATAAATTCTGGTTTCAGGTGAAATACTAACCATAATAATATAGGTAAGCTAAGATGTAAGCAATTTAAAACACCTATCAACTTTAAAAGGGCTATTTAGTAGGATTTAAATTTTTGTTTGTAAAGTAGCTGGGTCTCTTTAAAAAGTAATTTATTTGTCTTTAACAAGCCATATTGCAAATTTCACATATCCATTTTCATTTCCACTAGGTAGAATAAACATAAGCAGTTAAAATTTAGCCATTTGCTTTAGGATGGCATATTCTTTAATAACTGCAACTTTGGAAACACAAAATAAAACATCAAACAGGCAGAAAGGAAAATACAGGAATGGACCTATAAATTTCACAGAGACTTTTTGTTCTTTACAGTAAATTTATATACAAACATTGGTAAAAGGGGGAAGCAGTCTTTTCATATATCATATTTTACATCAATATTTAAATGGCATTCTTAAAGTAAAACAGTTCTGTTTGCACTAGACTATATACCTATATAGTTCCCTTACAGTCTATAATCTATGCCTATCTTCACTGGCTTGGAAACCGACCTAAATTACAATTTATTTAAAGGGCTATGGCTAACCTTGAATTCTAACGTCCCAAAATTCTTACTACAGACAAACTAACCCAGAGGACATTTAATCATAACCATGATTGGAAAGTTAGAACTGAATAAATAAAAATATTGAAGGGGAAATAGAAAATCATTGCTAAAAACTATAAAAAAGAAATTTTTTTCTACAGAAAAAAATAGCACACAAAATGCTTTAAACAACAATTTTAGACATATGAATTGATCTGGTCCAAATGCAACGGCTGGGTATGTTCCATAGAAAAGAAATAGCACACTCTGTTATAGATCACCTCAGTATGTGGAATTCCACTTTACATACCCTAAAATATAAGAATTAAGTTTACCAGTCTTCTGTGATATTAATATTTTTAAGATCTTAAAGCTTTAAGCAAATGGGAAATGGTCTCAAAAATTATACACGCACAGGGTGTGGGGAAATGATCCTGACCCAAAAGAAAATAAAGAACTACCCATGAGAAGCAAATTACACTTCAATGTAAAAGCCAAAATCTTTCAAAGCACTCCCTAGACAAAACTGCCCTGGTTGTTGGCCACCATATTCCGAGTAAAGGATATTAATAAACGTAGGATTTTGTCTCCACAAAGTTTTTAGTAACTTTTTCTTCAGAGGTAAAACAGGGCCATAATTGGAACAGACTAGGTAATGAGACAGCTAGGTCACCTCGGGACCACATACACACTGTGGGCCTGAGGGCTCCATCCAAAATGAGAATCTTTCAACTTTCCCTGAAATCTAAACATTTACCTTATCAGTTTTCTGCCTAATATTCAAGTGTCTGCTGCTTCTAAGTTTGCTAGTTTTCCAAAGCAATTCAATTTCCCAAAACCTCAAATTTCATGTATTACAGCTTCATGAAATTAAACCCTTTCTTTTAGCCCTTCATGTGTCTACAAAGCCTACCAGTTTGCTCTAGCTCTCTGCTGAACTTCAACAACAAAATAAGTTAGGAACAGGAATCAGTAAGACCAGAAAACTAAATTCAACCGCTGTCATCCTAATATAACCACAAGGGTTTGGCAATAGGTAGCAAGTAACCAAAAGGTTCTCAAAGCCAGGGAAGCTAGTTACTGGGTAGGAAACTCTGACCTAAATTATATATTATTTAAAGAGCTACTGCTAATCTTTAATTCCACCCTCTCAAAGTTCTTACTACAGATGTACTAACCCAAAGGACATACAATAACTTTTTATTTTATAATAAATTTTAAATAATGGTGTTCTTTCCAATGCTTCGTTTTATTTTTCATAGCAGTCTCTTCCTGAATTTCTATAAACCGTAAAATTATGCTTGTAACATTTGTACAGTTTAAAATGCAAGCTTTAAAAATCTCTTAAACAGGTTACCAATGTAAGTTTAACGCAAGATTAAAGGGAAGAAACAGAAAGCAAAAAAAATTTATTCCCAAAAGTCCCATACTTGACTTCAGTGAAAAAACAAACCCTTTACAATGAGAGAAACCACACCATTCACTTTTAAGACATAAAAAAACAGTACAAGAAGGTTTAACAAACATAATTGTAATTTCACAATAGTTCTAACAAATGTGAAATTCATAAACTATCATAACAAGAACATATCTACAGTTGAGAAATACATACTTTAGAATTCCATTTGCTCCAGAATAAGCTTCTATTGCATTGATGCTGGTGGGCAACATTGTAATAATTCTGTCAGCTTTTTCAGCTACATCTGCTGGGGAAGACACTACCTTTAAAAAAAAAAAATTGCAACGGCACATTATTTAAATTAAATGCAAGCAGCTCCTACAGTACAAGTAGGATCCACTTTTTATGCATGCCCATAATAGTGACAGTGAATAAAAACTAATCCTTGTTTTCAAATGACAAAAACAAAAAACGAGCAAAAAAACCCGTTACTGCCTAAAATAGAGTCCATTCCTTCACACATACAGATGCAATTTCTATGGAATCACATCCACTGTTTACTTTAAAAAGTGTGAAGTGAGTTGAGGGGGAAAAGGGCAAAACCCAACAGTCCTGGGAACAGACACACTTCTCATGGATTCCTCTAAGTTGGATTCTTAAACAGCATACTTTTTGGTAGATGTTCTAAGAAAAACATTCTAGTATATCAGACTTGGTAGCTGAACTACAGGATACACCAATTATTTCATGGGCAGCAAAATCCACAAGTAAATTCTCAAGCCCCCATTCCCACTATCTTCCAGCCTCTATTTTCAAGGAAGAAAAAAAAAATTAAGCCTGTTTTATAAAAAGTCAGGACAAGGACATAAGCATGTACTGCACTGAATGTGAGTACCACCATGAAGTCTGAGAGCATGAGCTGTCAGGTCTCCTGTGGAAACCATATATACAACAACGACATACGAACAGCCATCAAGGAACGCTCTCTCTCTCAGAAGTCAGAATCCTGACTTCTGCTCTAATGATGAGCATGAACATACTGTACAAGAAAGCTGCTCTGCCCATCCTCTGTACATATGTTTACAAGTATGGGTGTACACACCCTCACTCACATTTCCCCCACCCCCTGCTCTCTCGAATATATACACCATGATACACCTGGCCAGCTGGTCAGCAACCAAAGGGGCCAGAAGAGACCAGGAGATCACTTCTTGACTGAAACTCTCCTTTAACAGAAAGAATCTATCACCCCAATTATCACGAAAGCTCCTTTCCAAAGCCTTTTCTCTCTTTAAAGAAAAGACAAAGAACTATCAGGAGGATAATCAAAAATTTCTCCATAGGAGAACGGGCACATAAGCATCTTAGGAATGGGAATGCCTCTGCTTTTCATGTGGTGGAAGTAAACGAAACATTTTCTTTCTGTCTTTGATGTACAGCTGATGAAAGAATGAGAAACCAAACACAGTGTGCAACCTAAATATTATGAGCTAGAAGCAATTACATTTCATTCTTCCATAAGAGACTATCAGCTTCTAAATCAAATTCTACATAAAGGCAGTTTTAACATAATTTCATAAGTTGTATTCTAAAATTTCAGATAATCAAGTATCCTGGCACTTTGTGTACTAAGTGATAATATTAAACACCTCAGACTCTAAAGCCAAAAACAACAAAAAAAGACAGTCTCTCTCATCTAAAGGCAATACAGCATTTTAGAGTCTACAAAGTGGCACATTCAACAATATGTATATTTTGATATATAGTGGGGATCAGCCACAAATAATTCTGGAAAAAAATTTTTTTCCATCAAATTACAAAGTAATACTTAAGTTAGGTGAAAACCTTTCCTACACTCAAACAAATACTGAGATTTGAAAAGAGGCAACTATTTCCTGGCAAACAATTCAAGTTTCCTTAAGAAAAAAAAACAGCTCAGTAAGATGAGAAGAAAAGGAAAAGCTATAGGAGTCATAATTCTCTACTCTTGGACTGTATCAAGAATATGGGTTACATAGAGAGCCCCATCTGTTCATCCTATTTCAATGAAGTAATAAAGGCATGCAAAGTGGTGGCACACCTTTCAGTTGCCTTTCCTTCTATCTCAGCTCCATCTCTCTTGATCTTTCAGGGACTGTAGTAAGCCAGCCCTGAGGTCTAAGAGTCAACTTCAGACTTTCTCTTAGGAATTCAGAGTCTCTTCCACTGAAGGAAATTCAATTCCATCTAGATAACTCCTTGAGACATGCCCTCAGGGGCACCAACAATTAGCTCACAGATCTAGGAATACTTCACACCTCCAAGCTTCTTGTGCCAATTCATGCAACTGCCAAGTGCATGGGGTGGCCAATCAGCCCCCTGCATCCCTAGCATCTGCTTCTTGGGATGCCTGGTTTGCCAGAGTACTGCTAACCCCTCAAATATATAGGAAAGTAGTGTCGAAGCTCACAGGTCCGGAAAAAACCACACAATGATAGTGATGGCTGGAATGTCACCACTGTACTGGCCACAACTGCTCCATACGTAACAACTATATACATTTGGTACATTATAATAACAGTCTCTAATTTGCACTACAGAAGGCATGCTTATTAGACAGACAGACAAGTGTGTCCAGTTATTCAAATCATCTTGCCTTCCATGTGATGACTTCAAGACTCTGAAATAACTAACAAAATTTGGCCATGACTCAAAAGCTGGCAGGAAAAAAACAAACCTTATTGCCAGTCTGACTCTCACCACAAAAGCCTTTAGGAGCCAACCTAATTAGAGTCCCTTCAGTTACATTTGCTAATTGAATGGATAAGCAAAGACAGCATGGATCAGGGAAAGGAACACTAATTTGGGAAGCCAGAGACTGGGTTTAGTTATAGCTCAGCCACTAAATCATCTGTGCTTTTGTGCAAATCACTTAACCTCTCTGGCTTCAGTTTACGAATCTACAAAATAAGAATAGTGATTTGGATTATCTTCAATTGTTTCTATCTCCAAAGTAGAAAGGAAACTTAGGCAAGGGAATTTTTCACATTTAGTAACCTTAAATTCTAGGAAGGCACACTCTGTGAAAAAGGGCTGATGGTACAGGAAGCATCTGCAATGACTCAGCACAAATGTAAAGCATTAGCAGGACTCTACTACACCTCCACGTGCGTGGACGGTCACTGACCTGGCTGACTCTGGAACACGGCTCTGCTCTGATTGTCAGGCCACCCCAGAAAAATCTCTTGACAATTCCAACTGCCTCATTCTTACACCCTTGTGAATTAAGGTGACCCTACTTTTCCATTATTTTAATTTTGATTGCAGGAGATTGGTTCCCTTACTATCTACAGTCTTTAAGAATTTCTGCAACTAGATTCATCTGTATGCTAGTAAGCACCAATGGCAGGTGTACAATATAAAGATTAGACAACTGGACAGATTAAAGACAAAATCTGCTTTGCTAGGGGGGTGGCGGGAGGAATGATGGGGGCATCAGGGCCCAGAGTAATCTGAAGTAACTGCACCTCCTTTTTACATATCCAATGCAAGGAGACAACAGTTAACCTAGTTGTTTTACATAAAGAGAAAAATCTCGCTGTCTCTGCTAGACAAAACAGTCACATAAGTGAAGCTCAGCATTGCTTCCACATAAACCAAATGCGTAAGAGAAACTTGCAAAGAAACAAGATGAACATGACCTTGGTTAAACCTGCCACTCAGTGTATTTTAATCTTTCCAAGTAGAAAAGCATACTGTTGCTTCAAAATTGCACTACCCTTGGGCTTCCCTGGTGGCGCAGTGGTTGAGAGTCCGCCTGCCGATGCAGGGGACACGGGTTCATGCCCCGGTCCGGGAAGATCCCACATGCCGCGGAGCGGCCGGGCCCGTGAGCCATGGCTACTGAGCCTGCGCGTCCGGAGCCTGTACTCCGCAACGGGAGAGGCCACAGCAGTGAGAGGCCCGCGTACCGCAAAAAAATAATAATAATAAATAAATAAAAATATGTCTACAATTCTATTCCAAACAACTCTGGACTCAGTGACTCAGCCAACACAGTGGTGCATTTATATGTGTGGTGTTGGGGAATGAAGATTCGGGAGAAATATGGTATAGATACTAAAGCAACAACCATAACAGTAGTGGTAGTAGTAACAGCACTTTCTATGTGTCAGGTTCTCTAGGGCTAAGAGGAAGGTACTATTACTACTGCCATTTTATAAGATGAGAATATTTAAGTAGAAAGCAGTTAAATAATCTGTCTAAAAGTCACATGGCCAGCACATGATAGAGCTGAGATCTGAGCTCAGGCAGCCAGGTTCCTCCTGGGTTTATGCTTTTAAACCACTACATTCACAATTTATTGATTCATGATTTCTAATACCCAAAGGCCTGATAATTATCATGAGTTACATTCTTAGAATAGATGCTATAAGTTGAAATGATGCATTGTATGTTAAACCCGAGTTTCCAACAGAAATAAAGATATAATAAAGGGATACGGAGAGAGGAAATGGTAAATTTTTTATGGGAATGACCACAAGTAACATATTAAACCAATTATAAATGCCCTAATGAATTGGTTAACATGTAAAGGTATAAATAAGTTCATTAAATACAGTCAGGCACGTGCAGCATTTTAACATGTCCAAGTTTTTATTTCCTTCATAACCCACGTAGTATTTTTTACTACTAGGTACAGCTGGAAGGAAAACCTCCAGGGTGGTAACACCCTAAAGCACTTCACCTGGAACTGCAGGTGGACCTTGCACCTTGAGGGGAGGGAGGAGCTGGCCCGTGGAAAGCAGAGCCAAGAAGCAGACAGAAACGGATCTCATTACCTCTGTGCCCAAAATTCGGCTGTGCCTGGGTTCAGGCCACTCCTCAACTCTTCAGTTACATGAAACAATAAATCCCCAGTTTTTGCTTTTAAAAAACAAAAAAGCACTTCTTCAAGGAGATGTCCAAAGATCTTTAGAACTAGTTGATTGCTTTTTGATCCAGATATGTCTAGTTTGGTACTTTCTCTCCCTGCAAATTTCCCACTGAAAGCACAGTTGACATTTGAAATCAACCAGCCATGTTTTCTGCAAACTTTGAGGGAAAAAAATTCTGTTTTCTTTGGCTGCCATTTCATCGACTTCACTTGAGATCAGGGAAAGGGACACCTGTCCTTAAAATCTAAGAGTCAACTCAAATATACTCTGAATTTCTGAACTCTTAATCTATTCACTGCACTATTGTGTACCATGGAAAGAAGTTTCAAAGTTTTCACCTATATTTTTCCATCTCATCCCAAGTCTTCTCTTTGTCTTTTAGTAGTAAAATGAAACTCACTTTTTCC